GGTGGCAGTGCAGGGAGGACTCTGAAGGTGCAGCCTGAGGGTAGACGGCATTTGTAATGTGTATTTTTCAAATAATTTGCATTTATTTGAAAGACAGGGGGAAGAGATGCTCCATCCATCCCCATGCCCTCCAACATGCTGCAACAGTCGGGGCTGGGCTGGGCTGAGCTGGGCTGGGCTGGGCTGGGCTGGGCTGGGCTGGGCCCCAGCCAGGAGCCTGCAAATCCAGCTGGGTCTCCCACCCAAGGAGCTGAGTTGTCACCTGCTGCTTCCTGGGCTGTGCCTTAGCAGAAGGCTGACGTCAGAGTGGAGACAAGAGGGAAGCAGGGGTCCCAGGCAGTGACTTCACCACGGCGCCCTGCCCCCCGCTGTGAGTGTGAGATGTTACTGACCAGCAGGGAGTCAGGAGGCAAAGGGCTTGTATCAGTCAGGGTTCCCCAGAGAAATGGGAGAACAAGAAAAGAACAAGAGAGAGGGGAAGGTTTATTTTAGGGAGTTGTCTCAGGTGACAGCAGGTGACAGCAGAGGCCTGGCATGCTGGCTAGAGACCCAGAGGACAGAAGTACTTGAAGCTTGGAGAATTCTTGCTTTCTGGGCCTTCCAGTGTTGGGTCAGGCCCACCCACACTGCTTTGCCGGTGTCTATGGATTTGACCAAATATATGGGTATTGTCACACACAGCTACCGTGAAGGGGGTACACTGCCCACACAAACGAGCTCAAATGGAACAGCTGATGCCTGTGCCTTTCAAATTCACCCTCATTCCTCTCGGCCACGTGGGCTGGTTGCTCCCTCCTCACTACTGCCCCCCTTCCCTTCTCTGCCTCCCGCCCAGGAGCCCTGCTGCGCCCCAGATCCTCTAAGGCAGGTGACCCCTGAGGTGCCTGATCGGGCAGGGTTGGAGCTGGCCCCTGAGCCAGTGCCCACGAGGTGCAGACTGAGTGCTGAGCCCGTTTCAGAGCGGTGCCACCCAGAAACCCATCTGGGGAACTCCCAGGTGGACTGGGGGCCAGCTTTAGTTAGAGCCATGTGTGTTTCCACGGGGACTAGCCCTGTCACAGCCAGGGTCCCACAGCTGACATTAACACAGGATGATCAACTCGTACCCAGCGAGCCAGCTCAAGGCAAGCAGAGGAAGCCAGCAGAGGAGGCAGGCATGGGGGCCAGCCCAAACCATAGGTCGAGGCGGCACGGGCAGGTATGGGCGCCACTCAGGGCCTCTTTGGCAAGCAGGGAAAGAGTTAAGCAGCCTGAGCTTTTCCTGCTTCTCACGCATGCTGCCCCAAGCTGATGAGAAGACACTGAGGGGTTTGTATTTTTTTTTTTCCTGAAACCAGAAGATCGGAATTCCGGAACTTGACTCTTATTTCTTTGAGCTCATTCAAGGGAACAAAACCCATTCAGGGTTCCATCCCTGGTGCCAGGCAAAGGCCCTAATCCTCATGTGAGACTGGGCTCCCCACACTTTGACCAGAAACCTGACCTGTTGGCAAAGGTGGGAGCCACACAGACTGTACTGCCTGGCACTGGGGCTCTGCTGCTGGCTCATCCCATGGCCCAGAAATGACAGAACCCCAGAAGCTTCACGTGGCAGCCCTTGTGGGCCAGGGGCTTCGCAACACAGCATCCTTACAACCCACCACATGGGGATCGCCAGAATTCTCCAGGCCTTAGCTAGCCATGCAGCGGATGCAAAGCCCGTTCTTGACGCTTGGGCTCCAAACTGGCTCCTGTGCTTACGGATCAGGAAACGCAAATGTCAAGATGTGACATTTCCCCTGGGTAGAGACTTCGATGTTGGGGGTAACACCCCAGGCATCCCGGTGTGGATGTTCTGGGACTTCTCTTTGAGAAACACGGCCTTCCACCTTTCTGTCTCTGCCAGCCTCTGCCCTGGCACCTTAAGAAAACCACACACCAAATTCAGTCTGTTTGCACAGGTCTGCGTCTTAGTGGGCTGGGCTTTACAGTTTCAAGTGGTTGGGAAGAAAGCCAAAGAAAAGCAGTATTTCCTGGCATGTGGAAATCACATGGAATGCAAAATTCAGTGCCCCTAAATGCACGTGGTTGGTATACAGCCACACCTGTTCGCTCACCTAGTGTCTGCAGGTACCAGGAGGCAGGACCTGGCCCTGCATGCTCCTATGAGGGTCCTCTTTATAGGCCCCCGCGCCTCGGGCTACCTTCCCATGTGCAGTGGCGTGGAGTTTACTGCCCAGGCAGTGTCTTCCTCACACTGACCCCAGCTCCTTCTCCGCTGTGGTTGCCGGGTGCCGACAGCTCCACTTTTCCTCCCACGCAGTGGCCATCAGCCGACCGTCCATCACTGCTCTTCTCATCTCTGGTGTCAGGTTCTTGGCCCTGCCATTGTTTTCCCGGTGCCCTTCCCCACTTCCGGGAGGCAGGGGGAGGGACCTCCCTATCTCAGTGGGAGAAGACGGCCTCCTGGCTCCTCCATGACTTTGACCCATTTTGGTTTCCAGTTCGTGGCTCCCCTGGCTTGGCCTCTCTGGATCCCAGGATGGCTGACCCAGCCTTCCCCTCACCCCTCCCATCCGAGTATCCAGTGTAGGGGACCTGAGCTCTCCCCACCATTACCCCCCGCCCCACCCCCACTACTACTGGGGCTGGTCCTAGTCCCGGCGGGTGGGGGGGACTGCTCACAAGCACTGACTGGGTGGCCTGCCATTCACTTTTCTGAATCAGCCAAGGGTTGGACTCAAAGCAGGAGGGAGGGTAGGGAGGGACAGGGGACGGAACCGGGTGTATGTGCACACCCCTGGGCATACCCCTCACAGCGCCCAGACCCAGGACTGGGATCTGGGCAGGGTGGATGGCTGGTTGCCCCTTCAAAATGAGCAGTGTACGCCTGGAGACAGTGTGCTGAGGGTGGCCAGGGGAGACCAGGGCCTGCAGGCTGACCCCGAGCAGCAGGCGGGCCTGGCAAATGCTCTCTACCCCCAGGCTGGCTTTTTTGTGGGGGTGGGGTGGAAGGACAACAGCCACAATGCCCAGTGCGAGACACTGGCACACAGAATGCTAGCTCCCCTCCTGCTGCATGCCAGGCACCCTGCGAGGGGTCAGCCTGCGGGTCCAGCAGCCACAGGGCACTTGTTGCTCCCCATCAGTGCAGAACAGCAGGTGCTGAAGGTTGGGTGGCGGGGGCAGGGAAGGAGGGACAGGCATGACCATGAACAAATGGGGACAGTGGGGCCTTTAGAGTGGCAGTGGTGGAAATACTAGCAGTGATGCGGTCACTGACCTGCCAGCTCTCACGGTCCAGTGCTCTGCAGGGACTCTCAGGAGCAGCCTGCCTTAGTGTCCAGGGCAGGCTGAGAGCCTAGCATGGCTCGGTGAGCTGGGCGATGGGGAGGCAGGATCAGGGGAGGGCTTCAGAAAGGAGGTGTGGACACCCTGCACTGTGCTGGGTGAGCCTGGTTTCTAGAAATGTTATGCACTGAGGGGGTGGGAGGAAAGGGGAGAGGCTTGTGAAGAAAAGGGGCTGAGACTGGTGGGGCTGGGAAAGAGGTTTCCAAGATGCCATGGAGTGAGCATCCCGCAGGAACCTCACAAATGTGGTTTCTGGGGTTCTGGCCTGGATCTCCCAGGTGTGGGACACTCTGGGTGGGGTCCCCCACCGTTCATTGGGGAATTCTGCCACCAACCCCTAGGGGTCCGACCAGGGTTCCCTAGGTGAGACCCTCTCTTCAGTTAGGAGGCACGTGCTGTTTCCAGATTTGAGGCTGCAACTTGGCATGTGATCAAAGCAGTGGTAGCTGGAGAGGTGAGCCGCCTGACTGTTTCAGCTCCTACAGAGTGACTCACGGTGATGGGGCAGTGTGCCGGGCACCGTGCAGGAAGGGAGGGTGGCGCTCCATTCCCTGGCACCGCCCCAGCCTGATCCCTTGGGACAATTGATCATAAACAGCTGCTCCCAACATGGGGCTGGGTGTGTGGCATTCCAGCATGGTCAGAATGGAAAAAAACCATCTTCTCTCAAAGATCCAATTTCCCCCAACGTCTAAATCCCATCAGAAAAGACTCACAGACTCCCCTCTCACAGCCCGTGAGCTTTTTTTGGGATGAACTCAAGAAGGCAGGGTTCCAGAGAAGCACCCATGAGGCCCACGCCCAGCGACGCCCGGGGCTTCCTGCCCCTCACCCGGCAGCTGTATTCAGGGTGGGTAATACACTCCCGTGGTTCTCTTTGCATGCAAAGCTCAGGCCTTGTGCCAGGCACCAAGTGCTTCGTATTTATGAAATGAATTTCATCCACAAAGCCCGCCCCTGGGAGACAGGCCTTCTTACCCAGTAAATACAAGTGAGGCGACCTGGGGATGCAGGCTGCGCCACATCGCGATAAGGCTCCCCGGCGACAAGGTGGGAAGCAGCAAACCCCAGCATGCCAGGATGGAGCCCCGAGCCTGCGCAGCAAGGGCTGCTGACCCCGGGACTTTTACAGCCACCTGCGGCTCAGGGGCTCCGCCAGTGTGTGCGGGTTCGGCAGGACGCCAAGCCCGGGTCTACCGGGTTCTGAGAGAAGGGACATCCAGCCCTCCTCAGGTGTCCGTGCCCGGGGAGCGCGGTGAGGAATGAGCCAGAACAAGCCTGGCGGCAGGACTCTGGGCGGCGGAGACGCTTAGGGAAACCCGGGCAAGATGAGCCGGCGACCCCACCAGACAACCACCAAGCAGTCCCTTTAACCCCCAAAACTTTCTCTCTCCACAGGGGACCCCAGAGGACGCACATTGGCTGAGTCGCCTCCACAACCCGCCCTTTGTCATTAGCTATTGGCTGCCGTCAGCATCCATCACAACCTGAGGATTCCTAATGGCCCTCGTTCTTGTCCCTCTGGGGTGGGCGGGGCCGGCAGGCGACACGCCAGCCTCGCTGCCCTCCCTGCCTGCCCCAGTCTGTGACTGGAGACCTGAAGGTTGCCGAGGGACCGAGGCCGGGGGCGGCGCACCGGGGCGGGGCCGTGCAGGGCTCCAGGGGCTCACCGATGCGCTGTCCCACCGGAGAGCTGAACGGGTTCCCCAGGAGAAAGTCCATCGCCACGGCTGCCGCTGCCAACGACCCGAAGAATCAGCTGACGGCAACCGCCGGCGCCGACCTATCACGTGACGTGCCGGACGGCCCGCGAGGGGGCGGGGCCAAAGAGGCAGCCGGCAGGGGGCGGGGCTCAGACCACGCCCTGGCTCTAAAAGTTTTTGGGGCGTGGCCTAGGGGACCTTGGTGTGGCTGCACACATCCCACTTTCCCCTAGTGCCCCAGGCCACAGTGCCTGGGACCCCTGCCCTGATTCCTCTTCTTTGAGATGGTTTGCATACCTCAAGGAGGAGGTTAGGGGCAGGGGGGTGTATTTCCTTAGTTAAGTGTCCATTTCTGCTATTAATGAACTGATCCCGACAGCGAGCGCCCATTCCCTATGGATACTGGAATTAGATCAATGACTTGTCATTTTATTTTTTTAGGTCACAGGCTCTTCTGGGGAAACAGTTTCTGCAGATAAAAGAACCTCAAAAGCCTTTCCTAGCGTTGTGATCTGAGGATCTCCCTCAGCCTCCCTGGCTGCGGTGTACTTCGTGTCAGAGTCATCCCCTGCACCTTGCGTACCCCATCTATTGCTTATGACTTTTATTGCCGACATGCCCTAAAAACACAAGAACCGCTGTCCTGGTGGATTGGGCTACAGTGGGGTGCTTTCTATTCACTGATCATGATGGGATTGTCAGATCTGAAAGGCCAGCAACAGACTGCACACATCTTGGATGATGGAAAACCTAAATTAGAACATAATCGCTTCTGTATGCTCACTTGCTTGCACTAATGGGCTCTGCTAACTTTGGTATTCAGTGTCAAGAGTGCCTGCAGTGTTCCCATGAGGCTCAGGGCACCCTTTCCCCAGCTGGCGGTGACACCCAGGGAGGACTGGGATGCTGTTTTTCCAGTGGCTGGTGTCTAACACAATGATTTGCATATGAAGGCTTGACAGGAGTTCAGGCATGTGGCCTATTTCAGATGACCATGGCAGGCACTTTCCAGATCTTTCCTCACACAGGCATGCTGCTTGTCTGTAGGGCGGGTCCTTAGCATGGACTTCTTTCACAGCCTTTAACCTCCCCATGTTGGGTACTGATTTCCTACTGGTTCTTGCAAGTTTTATTCTTTGTGGTAGAAAATGAAAAACCATATGTATACTCATGAAAAGGAAATGGTATGGCATTAACCCCATGCAAACAATATTATATAGCTACTCAAGCAGAGAGGGAAGGTTGTAGATTTTCATCAACAAAGTAGATAATGATATAAATAATGTTGTGTTGGTAAGGAACAAATTTAGTAAAAAGTCTGTTTCAACTCAATTTTTCCTTTTAGTATTTTACTGAGAGTAAAAGTGCTTGCCTCCTTTAAGACTGCCATACTGCCTCTCTCCCTGAAGCACTCGTTTTATTCATGTGAAAGGAGAATCACACACACACACACACACACACACACACACACACAGGAATCTTCCACCTCTTGGTTCACTCTCTCCGGCAGCAGCCAGGGCTGAGCCGGAACTCCGCCAGGCTCCCAAACGGCCTGTTGGGATTCAAGTACGTGGGCCATCCTCTGCTGCCTCCCGGACGCGCGAGCAGAAAGCTGGATGGCAAGTAGAGACGGAGTGCAAGAATTCCAAGCGGTGGCTTAACTTGTTACTCCACAGTGCCACAAGTGCTTCCTTTAAGCATTTTCAGACAAAAATCAAGATATGCTGCCTTAGAGAACTTCAATGGAAAAAAAAAAAAAAAAAGAAAAGTGAAAGCAAGCTGGACATAAAAAAAAATGAGAAAAATCTATAGTTTTTCTATAATTATGTGTAAGGACTGTAGATAATAAAGATTCAGATGGATTACATATATGATTTTTCATTTATCTTTTAAAAGATGTATTTATTGAAATGCAGAGTTATGGACAGGGAGAGACAGAGGCAGAGAGGCAGGGAGAAGATCTTTGATCTGCTAGTCGACTCCCCAAAGGCTGCACAGGCCAGCGCTGGGCCAGGCCGCAGCCAGGAGCTTTATCAGGTCTCCCACACGTGTAGGCACAGGGGCCACTGTCCACTGCTTCCCCAGGCCATCAGCAGGAAGCTGGATCAGAAGCAGAGCAGCAATGCCCACCCAAGATGCTGGTGCTGCAGAGGGCTGACTTAACACACACACACCGACCCCGAGTAAGTACACGATTTCAATGGGAAGGTAAAGACAGCCCAGGCTTGGGGCTTGATGCACCAGTGTCCTTACTCTGGCTCTGCAGTGATCTAGCTATGTAAGTATCTGCCTCCTCAGGTATAAGGGGGTGAAGACGAGGGGGGAGGGTGACGCTAGCCTGGAGTTAGGGAGATGACACTAGCTCGGTGTCCCAGTGGGGACGCTGGGCCTAGCAAGCCTGCCCTGCCTGAGCCAGCGGTGACGTGGCGGAGCAGCACAACACTCACATACAGCCCTTACCGCACTGACATCTTGACAGCTGAACACCGTACCATGCACCGTGCTCTGTCTGCCAATGGAACTCGCTATCACATTCACCGGATTTGCAGTTCAGAAGAGAATTAATGAACAGAAGCAGAATAAGTTGTTAAGAAACTAGCTAAGATGGGAAACTTGACCTCTATTTTTTTTTTTTAAAGAAAATTTTAGTGTGGACTGCAAAAAACAGGTTTTATAACTTTATAGCAACTATGATTTGCACAATCAGGGAAAAGACAGCTGAGACTGGACTACAAATATTAAAAATGTGATTTTTAATAATATAAGTACAAAATTTTCTTTATACAACCATAATGGGATTTGGATCAAACCAGTAGGATTTATTTAAAAAATAAAATAAAACAATGATATAAAAACTGCAAGAAGGTCTGAATCCAAAGATTTTCCTCTAATAGTACCAAATACCACAAGGTACAGATTATTATACAAATGTGTACAAATGTTAAATACAAAAACAACAGGGCTGGGTTCGGAGGAAAAGAGCGACAGAAAGCAGCTCCCGATGAGGACTGCGGTACGCACAGCTGGCAGCAGGACTCCTTCCCACACTGACCTGCTTCGTCCGGCATCCTGCTCAAGCCGGACAGCTCCGTGCCACACAGGAAACCTCCTGACACAGGAAATCAAGCTAAGATTTCTATTCTTGATTTTGGTTCCTAAATGTTCCCATTTCCCTTTCTGCTTCCCTAATTAGATCTCAAAGTGCTGTGGGCAAGAGGATCCGGTAGGCAGGACACTCTGGAGCAGCCCAGCCCGGCGATAACCCCGGTGGTGACAAGAGCGGGCATTCATTAGGATGCAAGCTGGCCACAGGACCCCCGAGGTCAGCTCTGACGCTACAGAACTTACTTCCTAGCTGGGGGTGGGTTTTGGTTTCAGCTCAACCCAGAAGTGCTTGATTCTACCAACTAGGAATCCCAAGACCGGCTCTTGGGAACTAAGGGCGGCTGGGAATGTTAGCACTCCTTTGCAGTTACCGTCTTGACATTATTGAAGGCCATGACGTTCTGGATAAAGAATTAGAATCCCGACACAATGATTCCTTTCTGAGGTTCAATACCTTAAAGTAGGTGACTGGGCATTTTGGGACAGATCAGAGGAAGGAAGGGGGGGAAAACACAAATCTGTCCTCCACATGCTGTTGCTGGGGAGGCTTTGTTATTAAATTATATATATACAACACAGAAATTTACAGGATAAGTTAAGATCTAAGCGATTTAAAGAGTTAAATACACATAATTAAAATACACATTCACACACACATAAATAAACCCAGATGAGAACCAAGTACTTCTTTGCCATTCACTTCTATATGGAATGCAGAATAGACCGTTTCTGCCCACCAGCAGAACTACAAAGACAGACTCAGGAATCAGACTAAGTAAAGTTTGCCTTCCACAAATGCTGAGTAGAGCAAACTTTGCAAGGAGTTGGTGGCCCAACCTACTGCTGTCAATGAAAGAGGCTAGCTCCCAGCAGCGTGCACCAAACCTCCGGGTCAGCTCGGAGCATGTGCAGCCTCACAGCAGGCCCTGGCAGCTTCTGCTGTCCGCTGGGGCTCACCTCCGATCTGCGGCCTCTACTGAGGCTGTGATGATACCAAAGATTACAATCGGTTTGGAGACATGGACAACTGGATGAACTGGATGACCCCTCTGCTCAGTTCAACTGAGCCATTTTAGCAACTACCATGCAAATGGTGTTTCATCTCCCACCCATGTTGCTTCAGGTTGAAAGGCTTTGTACAAACTAGCATCACTTGGCCTCTCCACACAATCTTTTCCATCACATGTCCAACTATAAGACAGGTAAGGCAAATGGTCAGTGATGGGCCTGGAGGTGCAGCTGAGCTTGGAAAAAACAATCATTTTAGCAGTCCATACAGAGATGCACTTGGCACCCAGAACAAGCCCCCAGCCCCAACTTACATTGATTTTTAAGGCAGATTTGTCCACCATAGGAGAAAAAAAGGAATCCCAAGCCCACATTCAAGCCAAAGTTTCCTCTTGGTTAAACCTTTGCCATTTCATCAAATTATTTAAAGCAAAGTAGTTACAGTCCTATGTATACACTGTACATTATACACATATATATATGTATGTATGTATAGATATATAAAAAATTTAAAACCTACACCCAGAGGCCAGCAGAGGGATCTGCACAGTTATGTACACACAAACCGGCAAGGGCGAAGGACAAGGTTTCTGTCCCAGGCTCCTGGCTGTCACAGACCAGGCATGATGTAAGCAATGTTGTCGAGCGTGTTTGACTGCAAAACAAGGAAAAACGGTTCAGTTGGTCTTGGCTTCCTGAGACACGCTACCTGGCTCAGCACAGGGAGATGAGAAGGGCAAAGTGGAGTCAGAGAAAACAAGCGGGAAGGAAGGCAGCATTGAACGGTCCTGCTGACTTCTCCCATTCCTCCCAGGAACACGCTGTAGCAAAGCCCTGCACTGTCTGTGTGCAGCACACAAGAAGCGCAGGAGCTGCAGGAGCCTCTGGCTGGAAGGCGGCTCTCCAAAGCACTGCTTTGGGAAATGGCAAGTGTTCTAGCTTTCTTGAGAGTGTCCCATGCATTTTACAAAATAGGATCACATTCCAGGGGCTGAGAGATGAAGGGAGTCAAGCAGTCTGGCGCCTCATATTAAAGAAAAACAGGGAAAACTCACCAAGACTTGTTTGGGACAGCCATTCAGCTCAGGCAGCTGTGTGGTAAGACATGCCAAAGGGCCCAGTGCGCAGATGATGGAATCCAAAAGCACAGATAAGCTGCCGGATACGGCCACCATGCCCTGGAAGGAAAGCACACCGTCACCAAACGCCACCGATGCTCTGTCCACCTTCTGGTGGATTCCTCATCCGGCTCTCCAAGTCCTGGGCGGGTCCAATCACACAATAGGAAATTTCCAGAAGAAATGGATGATACCTACTTTGCCTACTTTAACCATTCCTAAGCTACGTATTTCTTACATGTCCTTGAGGAAGTCAGTCACTGCCCTTCCCTACGACTGCATTTCTTCCTGCAGAGAGCTGCTGGCAGGCCACACGTGTGACAGATCCCTGTGACAGAACTCAAGTGTGATGGCTGCGAGCCATACACGTTCGCGTTCAGAACACACACATGAACTTCTCCAAGCAGGCAGCTCATTTTTGTTGACAGCTGAACAGACCATTTACCTGGGATGAGTTTTCCACTCTCAAAAAGAAGTGAACTGCATTCATTTCAACTTTAAATTTGCGATTCCATGGGCCTGGTGGCGTGGTCTAGCAGCTAAAGTCCTTGCCTTGAACGTGCCGGGATCCCATATGGGCGCCGGTTCTAATCCCGGCAGCTCCACTTCCCATCCAGCTCCCTGCCTGTGGCCTGGGAAAACAGTCGAGGACAGCCCAAAGCTTTGAGACCCCACATAAATGTGGGAGACTTGGAAAGAAGTTCCTGGTACCCGGCTTTGGATGGGCACAGCACCAGCCAGTGTGCTCACTTGGGGAGTGAATCATCAGACGGAAGATCTTCCTCTCTGTATATCTGACTTTGTAATAAAAATAAATAAATCTTTAAAAAAAATATGCAATTCCAAAGAGATAAGAGAAAGCAACCTGGTGCTGCAGAGCTCCCTGCCCAGCTCTGGTGCACCCTGCTCTAACGATGGGCGCTGCAGGAAGAAGCCCCCACGTGAAGAGGTCTGGACAAGCCCGCACGGGACCAGGTCCTGGCCCCTCACCGCCTGCTGTGCCTGCTGGCATCTGCAGTGTGGACGGGACAGGTGATAAAATGTCTGGATGTACATGCTCAGCCAAGTACCAGAAGTGACTCCTACTGCTAATACCTTCCTCTCTGACACTGCACTCCCGGCTCCCTGCTGGGTCTCTTCTTTTGGCTATTCCTCAGTGTCAACATGCCAGGAAGGGGATAACCTTCCCATCTGAGTCCACCACTCCTCCTAGCATCTACTTATCTGCCAAGGTCATCGTCATTCACACAACTGCCAAGTTCCAACGTCTTGGCAACCCTTGACTCTTCCAATCCTTCCCCTACCTTATTTTTCCTTTATATTTCCTGAGGGCAGCAGTACATCAGGCAGTTAAGAACATGGACCTGGGGCCAGTGCAGTGGTGAGGCAAGCTAATCCTATTTGAAATCCCAGATATGGCATGTTGCCAATATCTCATATGGGTGCTGGTACGAGCCCTGGGTGCTCCACTTCCGATCCAGCTCCTAGCTAATGGCCTGGGAAGGTAATGGATGATGGACAGGACTTGGGTCACTGAACTTACGAGGGAGACCTCTCCCTCTCTCTGTTACTCTTTCAAGTTAAAAATAAATAAACAAAATAAAAGGAACATGGATTTAGTGGTCACTCTCCAAATTGAAGTCTTTGCCTTTAGAATAATGGGTTTAAATTGGGAATGCAAAGAGTCCAGAATTAGGGAGATTACAGCAATGACTCTAGACATGACAGAGATTTCTGTTTAACCCACAAGTGCTTGCCGAGTGCTTACTCAATCGCATTTAGAGTAAGTGGGTTTGCCTTTAGAGTAAGTCTCCAATTTTTCCTTTTGTAAAGCTGGAAGAAAAAAATTCTGCCTTATAGAGCTGCACTCTAAATTAAACAATCCATGAAAACTTTCAGTAAATATTAGTCATGTCCTATTACTCTAGCCTTGCAGTTAGCTACAGCGAGGAGTCTACACCTGGTAAGCTGGCAGATTCTAAGTGCCCTAGGGCAGGCGCCATGTCCTACGGACCTTTGCAGTGTCTGAGCAAGCACTGATGCAGTGTGCACTGTAACCAGGAGAGGCTCCCCGGGTGACTGAGTAAGCACTCAGCAAGCACTTGTGAGTTAAATGGAAATCTCTGTCATGTGTATAGTCATTGCTGTAATCTCTCCCTGATTCTGGACTCTTCACATTCCTAATTTAAAGCAGAAGACATTGTTAGAGAAAACCAAAGGAGAGGTCTGAATATAAACTCCCCACTTGAAAACATTCCTGCCAAGCCAAGTGCTTAGGTGGTAAAGAATAAATGTTTCAGAATGCCCAGGAAGCAGCTCTGGAATTTTGGGTTCAGGTCTTATGTTTTCTTTTTATTTTAATATTTATTTTTTATTTGAAAGACAGAGTTACAGAGAGAAGGAAAAACAGAAAGAGAGATCTTCAACTATTCAAGTTCTTTTGACATCTGTTAGATTTTCAGAAACTAGCCAAAACACTTAGACATTCACGTTCTTCTCTTACGGCCTGGCTCTGGCACTGTATTTGTTGAGTAATTCAACTTGTGCACAGAGAAGCAAGTGATTAGTTTTATATTTCCACAGTGATTTTTTTTTTAAATCAAAAAATGGTTTCAGTAACTTAGACTGATTTTTTTTTTTGGTGAAATGTCTTATTAGAACTAAACCCTACGCTCCCCTGCTAGGCTGCAGCTCCTGCTGGTGAACATGAGAGCCAGGGCTGGGGGCAGGCCAGGCTACACAAGCTGGCAGCACCCTTCAGGATGTGTGGGGTCATATTTGGGTGTGGGATGAGCTGAGCTAAGCTGCAATATCTGTGGGTGTGCATGAGAACTGCAGAACGGATTGGGCTAGGCCACAGCACATGCTGGCATGTGCAAAAACTGGGGATGGGGATGGGACAGGTGGGGGTTATTTGGGGTTGCCTCAGCTAGGTCTCAACACCCTCTTGGGGGCCTGAGGGCCGGCCTATGGTGGGCTGGGCTGGATTTGGCTCCAACATTGATTGATTCGTGTCAGAGATGGATGGAGGAGGAAATGACCAGGCAGCTGCATCCACCAGCATGTGCACTGGCTGGTGTGGGTGATGGACCGAATCTGACCCTGCACTAGCTGGTGCACACAAGAGTCAAGTGTGAGGTCATAATAGGCAATGTTTCTTAGAAGACTCCTCAACTAGATGGCTAGACTCAAAGCCTGGGCACAGGGAAAATCACAAGATGGGTGGTCTGACTTTGGAGTGCATGCATCAGGACTGGGCCTCCTTGCTTGCCGGTGTCTGTGCAGTGGTCAGCATAGCCAATGCACTCAGGGGACAGTTAACAGCTAGTTCATCTAGGTCAGCACAAGATGTTCAGTGCCTTGTCAGAGGTTGGAAAGCAGAACCACACCTGCCAAGTTTTGCAACATGATCCTGAATATGTGGATGCACTAAGATGGACTTGGTCAGCCAGCAGACCTTAGAAAGATCTTCTTAACTCTGGTGCTACGATGCTTGACAACGTCTCAAAATTATCAAAACAACCCAAGTAATTCCCTTGGAACGTTCTTCCCCATACTGGGATTTCTAATGTGTGAAATGACTATCTCCTATGCCTGGGTGCTGATGTGATCTGACAGCAGGAACAAACCCCCTCCTTCTCACCTCAGGAGACACAGGAAGGAAAAAAGGATGGGAACAGAAGCATCCAATCCACCCAATTCCCTCATACCCTGACCCTCCCCTCACTAGGCAGAGGCCCACATGGCTATTCATCCCTCTCATCTACGTAAAGAAGGAGCCAAAAGCTGGGACCAGCATTGTGGCTTAGTGGCAGAGCTACTGTGTGTAATGCTGGCATCCATACGGTGTCAATTTTTTTTTATGATTTATTCATTTTTATTAGAAAGGCAGATTTACAGAGAGAAGGAGACACAGAGAGCAAGACCTTCCATGTGCTGGTTCATTCCCTAAGTGGCCACATATTAGCTGGAACTGAGCTGATATGAAGTTGGGAGCCAGGAGCTTCTGGGTTTCCCAGGTGGATGAGGGCCCTAAGGACGTGGGTCATCATTAGCTGTTTTCCCCTAACCAGGGAGCTGGAGAGGAACTGGGACATGAACAAGCACCTATATGGGATACGGGTGCTTGCAGGCACAGGATAAGCCAATTGGGCGACCACTCTGGCCCCATGGGTGCCAGTTTGAATCCTGGCTGCTTCACTGCTGTTTCAGTTCCCTACTATGCGCCTGGGAGTGCTGTGGAGGATGACCCAGGTCTTTAGGCTTCTGAAGTCACGTGGGAAACCTGGAAGAAGTTCTGGGCTCCTGCTTTTAGCCTTGTCCAGCTTTGCTCTTGTCGCCATTTGGGGAGTGAGCCAGCAGATGGAAGACCTTGCTTGCTCTGTCCCCTTCTTTCCTCTGTAACTCTGCCTTTCAAAAAAAAAAAGAACTAAAAGCTGAACTACCACTACATTACTGAGTTAGTTGAAAAGTTGAAAAGTTAGTAAGGTTGAAGTTGAATGGTCACGGAAACGAAACATGGCAGCTTTGCAGGTTAAATTTTGTTTGTGAATAGGAGGGGCATTTTGAAAGTGAAGGCTAAGGGACAAAGACATATATACATATTAGGACAAAGACACCCGGAGGGCTCCCATGTACTTCCCATGCAGGGTAAGGCAGAGTCTGAGCACGGTAACTTCCCCACAGGCTGTTTTCAAAGAAGCACAAGAACTCTTAATTCTCTGGCAATCTAATCCATTTATTCAAAATTTCACTGGAAATATATAGAAAAATACAAACTACAAGTAATCAAAATCACTGTGGGATCTGTATGCATATTTTCCACTGGAAAAAAAAAATTAGTTATAGGGTACTTCCATTTCTTTGTTTCACAGTTTCAATAGGATGGTACTAGTGTCAACTCAGAGAACCAGTTAGTAGATACCAACACTCTGCCTGTTTCTATTGCCGCCACTCCCTTGACCACTGCTGCCTGGCGACACTTAGCAGGAAGTAGCTGCTCAGTGTCTGTATGTAAACGAGCCAACAGATCACATCACGCAGGGTCTGCCACAGTGTGGCCGCACTGGCGCCAGTGGTACCCACCTCTGTTTCCTGCAGGCGGTGTCCGATGAGGCTTAGTGACTCTCCCAGCAGCTGGAGATGCGCAGCCACATCAATGGGCTCTGTCTCAGGGGCTTTGGCCGGCGAGGCTGGTAACAGCATGGTGGTGGGTGGGGACTTCTTTTGGGGTGACATTACTCCTGCAGAAGAAGCTGGGAACAGCAAGATGAACTTGAGAAACTTGCCTACCATCTGGAGCACCACAAAGAGGTTCTTCATGGTTTTCTTTTTCTATGAACTGACTATACCACGCATCAACAAAACTACAACTTATGGGATGAATGAATCTAGCCCATGACCTCCTTTTGTGTGGCCTGTAAGCTAAAAATAGTTTACATTGTTAAATGGTTGCAGAGAAGACAAAGACCAATCCATGAGAGAGAAAGCAAGTGCTACACCAGGCCTGTAATATTCACTCTCTGGAACTTGGCAAAACGGACACGCTTCACATGTCCTAAATGTGTGCATCTGTTTCGCAGATGATAAGGTTCAGCATCAACACCTGGGTACCAGGTGCTTCCCTACACAGCGCCTCCGAGGAGAGCCAAGGCGTGCGGGCACGTGGTCGTCACCTTTCACTCTCACGGAGCCTTCGGAGCTCGATGCTTTCCGCTTCACAGTTGTGGCTTCTGCTTTGTTCTGCTTGTGCTGCAGATACTGAGCTTTTTGTTTCCAAATCTGTAATCACATTGGTGCTCGATCAATTAAGGACAAGAGAGTAAAAGGAGAGCAGATACAGGAGGATGGGGAGGAGGGGAAGGGCATGGAGTGAGAGCTGTAAATGCGGGTCTCGGGGTGGCCTTCTGACCACTGATGTCACGAACACCTCAGCAGGGGAGGAGGGACTCTGCTCACTGCTAACACAAGTCTCAGCTCTGACTTCAGATCACTGAAACGTAAAATTACAGAGACAACAGGTGGCTCGTTATGCCATCCCTGAGGCTCAAGTATGTGCTTTAACTTCCTGATCGGCACTGCCCATGGCAGAATAACAATGACATGGAACACAGAAACCAAAGATAAATGATTTGGATTTAAAAAAGCTGTCATTTCATGCAGAAGAACTTTGCCTTAAAGCGAGACGGCAAGCCCTGCTCCTACACCACCTTCCCATCCTCCAGCTGGGAAGAGACCGGGAGAGACCTGGCGATGAGGATTTATCCGCCCTCCAGCTTCCCACAGCACATGCTTGCTAAGGGCAGCGTGATTTTCCTCAGTTCCCAGACCAGGGATGACACGTTAATGTTTGTAGTAACCCTGAATTCAGATTTTCTCTCTCTCTTTGAAAGGCAGACTTAAAGAGAGCGAGGGCAAGACAGACAGAGAGAGAGAATATCTTTCACCTGCTGGTTCACTCTCTAAATGGCTGCATTGGTCAGAGCTGGATTGGTCTAAAGCCAGGGGCCAGGAGCTTCTTCTGGGTCTCCATGTGGTAACAGGTGCCTAAGCATTTTGAGCCATCCTCTGATGCTTTCCCAGGCACATTAGCAGGGAGCTGGATCAGAATTCGAGTAGCTAGGATATGAACCAGTGCCCATATGAGATGCTGGCATTGCAGGTGATGGCTTAACTTGCTATGTCACAATGCTAGCCCCCAGATTTTTTTTTAATCTATTTTCACTCTCTCACAGAGAGCCCAAAATGGTCAAAAAAGCTGGAGTTGGACAGGTCTGAAGCTGAGAATCAGGAGCTTCTTCCAGGTCTCCCATGTGGCTATAGGTGTCTCAGGACCTGAACCATCCTCTGTTCTTTGCTAGGGGCATTAGCAGGGAGCTAGACTGGAAGTGGAGCAGCTGGGACTAGGACTGATGTCTCTATGGTATGCCAGTGTCAAAGGTGGAGAATTAACCCGATATGCTACCGCACCAGCCCATCTATATAACACTTGGAAGTATTACCTAAGTTAGGTCATATTTTGGCTCAAAAGTAACACTGATGGAAAAGAAAATTAGACCAAGCTAGAAAAGACAGCTTCCCTTATAGCTAAATCCTCTTGAGAGTAAATGGAAATAAACCATTTTTCAATGATTCACAATTTTTTCCCTATTTTTTATGTTGTCTGACCACATGGTCTACAGGAGTACCCCACATCCAGGAAGGCAGGAAACAATGAAGGCATGTCTGGATAGTGTACTTACCAGTTTGTCCTTTTCTGGCAATTGCTTCCACACTTCAGCCAACTTTTTACTTAGTTCCCCAAAATCTGGCATAAAAGAGTAAACATGCAATAAAGAGTTAACTAGTGTTAAAAAAAGATTAATGGGAGCAACAGTTAGAAAAAATATTTTGAAGAATGCATTTAAACATCACAGCATTCTTTCAGAATACTAAAGCTAAGGCCATTACTTTTCATCGAATTTTTTGCTACAGCAAAGGGACTGTTTCGGGGGATCACCAGCTGGGCTCACATCTTCCCACATGTGCTCCAAAGGGGTTTCTTCCTTCAGCATCCTTTTATTTGGCTGCACAACGCAAGGTCTGCCAACTTAAAGACAATCTCTTACAGAGAACTGGATACATGATGGCAGGTTTTACCAACACCCCGAGCATCCTGTGTTCATGGATCAGAAGCCATGTGGAATACTACCCTGCCTACCAAATCCCAACTTTATGCTTTACAAAGCACGGTTGCATGTGTGCTCTGCAGCCACCTTGCGTGGCGGGCACTGCAGAGAGGCAAAGGAGACTTGCAGAGGTTAATGACTTGTCTAGGCCTCTGGCCTCATCTTTTTCTCACTTAATTTCGTATACAGACACAAACACAAAGGACATACCTCAGGCCATCCAATGTAAAGCTGTAACAAACAGCTGTGGATCTGGGAACGAATGCTGAGGTGCATCGGCATATGCACTGTGCTTTTTGGGGAACATTTCAGTTTAGGGTTATTCCCTTACATGGTTTAAGCCGTAGGTACAGACAACTAGTCTCTGTCACAAATGCTGAACTGAGGCAAAATCTAAAGTGACTGCAGAACTGAACGAAAAAAGGAGACTTGTTTCGTAACACTGGGGGAAGATGCTGCCTGCTGACTGAGTGACGATGTGACACAAAAAGCCTAAGATCAGAAAAGTGCTTACCTATGCCTGGGTGGTCGGCCACGATGGTCACACGGTACTCTTTGCAGAACACCTGGTAGGCCGACATGCTCTTCTTTTTGGGCTAGCGCCGAGGAGACAGAACAGGGCAAGGCATTGTCAGACCCTCCCGCAACGGGGACAAGACAGGAAGCACATCTGTCCACTTTTCCAGCCAAAGTATTAACCATCTTTCCCAAACTAGGTAATTCTGAATCCATGCCACATATCACTCAGAAATGAGTATCAGTTTTACTTCCAGCAGGTAAAAACTCTCTTTGTATTCTTCAGCTTGTAGCAGCTACATGCTGATGCTCAGTAATTCTTCCTATAGAAAACATTGTCTCATAAAATTCTCTTACTCCTTTTCTAAACTTCTTTCTTTTTTTGAAAGTAGAGTTACAGAAAGAGAAGAGAGACAGAGAGATAGTCCATCCACTCATTCTTGGGGCCAGAGTTGTAGTATAGCCTGCAAAGCTGCCACCTGCAAGGCCAGCCTTCCACATGGATGCTGCTTTGTCTGGCTGCTCCACTTCCGATTCAGCTCCTTGCTAATGGCCCAAAAAAGCAGCAGAAGATGGCTCAGGTGTTTGGGCCCTGCACCCATTGGCCTTGAGATCCAGATGAAGCTTCTGGCTCCTAGTTTTGGCTTGGCCCAATCCTGGCCATTGCAGCCATCTTGGGAGTAAATGAGTGGATGGAAGATCTTTCTCTGTAACTCTTTTTATTTTTATTGCAAAGTCAGATACACAGAGAGGAAGATCTTCCATTGGATGATTCACTCCCAAAGTGACTGCTACAGCTGGGGCTGAGCTGATCTGAAGCCAGGAGCCAAGAACTTCCTCTTTTGGTTCTCCCACGTGGGTGCAGGGTCCCAAGGCGTTGGGCGGTCCTCAACTGCTTTCCTAGACGACAAGCAGGGAGCTGGATGGGAAGTGGGGCTGCTGGGGTTAGAACCAGTGCCCATATGGGATCCTGGTGCATTCAGGGCAAGGACTTTAGTCTCATTTTCAGGATGAGAAAAAATGAACTCAAAGAAACAGTGCGTCATCCAGAGTCCCGAAGCTAAGCCACCAGTGACGACCAGCCTGCTTTCGGGGCCAGGGAGAGAAACCACACTGCTTCCTTACTGATAAAGTTCTCCCGTACTGAAGGGCGAGGCCCTTTCCTCACAAGCTACCAGCAGGCACCAAGGAGCACTCCTCCACCTCGGTCAGGCTTGGTCATAATGACTGGACACACAGGGCTTTACATGCTCCAGGGAACTCTACTTTGCTGCAACAGATTCTGGGGCCAAAACCAAATCCACACAGTCCTGCCTCCTCATTTCTGCGTCTTGTTTTAAAGAAAGCTTTTCACGCACTTTCTTTGCTTACTTCTCAACGTTGTTTCTACCAACTATCCTCCAAGGGCTGATGGCTGAACAGACGCGGCAGGGCTCCCGAGCCCCTGTGAGCGGGGGGACACTCCCGCCACAGACTCTACGGTGAATGCTTGGGACAGAGAACGGACTTGAAAAACCGTGGCATGCTTGCTAAAAATGTACCTTCAAAATTTTATAATCTTGGGCCTGGTGCAGTGGCCTAAATGGCTAAAGCACTCGCCCTGAAAGCACTGGAATCCCATATGGTCACCAGTTCTAATTCTGGCAGCTCCACTTCCCATCCAGCTCCCTACTTGCGGCCTGGGAAAGCAGTCGAGGACGGCCTAATGCTTTGGGACCCTGCACCCATGTGGGAGACCCGGGAGAGGTTCCAGGCTCCCGGCTTCGGACCAGCATAGCACCGGCCATTGCGCTCACTTGGGGAGTGAATCATTGGACGAAAGATCTTCCTCTCTGTCTCTCCTCCTCTCTGTATATCTTACTTTGTAATAAAAATAAATAAATCTTGGGGCCCGGCACGGTGGCGCAAGTGGTTAAGGTTCTCTCCTTGCATGCCCGGGATCCCATATGGGCGCCGGTTCTATCCCGGCAGCCCCGCTTCCCATCCAGCTTCCTGCCTGTGGCCTGGGAAAGCAGTCGAGGCCGGCCCAGAGCTTTGGGACCCTGCACCCGCGTGGGAGACCCGGAAGAGGCTCCTGGCTTCGGATCGGCATAGCATCGGGCCGTCGTGCTCAGTTGGGGAGTGAATCATCAGACGGAAGATCTTCCTCTCTGTCTCTCCTCTCTGTATATCTGCCTTTCCAATAAAAAAATAATAAAAATAAATCTTTAAAAAAAAAAATCTTTAAAAAAATTTTTTTAATAGTTCACCTGTGTGCCTGACATTTCTAGGGTACATGATGAAAGAACAGTGTTCAAAGCCTGTATAGCCCAATCTTTCCCTACTGTGGAATCAATGTCATAACTAAAAATTGACAGCATATTAAGAATATGTGCTTGAGAGTTCTCATAGCTCATCGTGCCCAACTACAGAGCCTGCAAGGAAGGCATTTAGCAATGTTTTCTCAAAGATAATCCAGTCAAAGGTTAATTGTCCCTATTTCATAAGGCTGTCTAGATCTGTAACATGAAATTTGAATGGCCTACATAAAACCAATCACATTGCTTGGCCGATGTATCAGCTCAAAATTCACACAATGAAGAACAGGGTTCCCCTCGTGATTCTTACAAGGCCTTTGTTCCACTATCCAAAAGCCAGCCACCACTGGCGGAGTAACTGGCTGGCGTGGCTACGGCAGGGATAATGAGAACTTTCAGACGCAGACCTCGTTCTATGGGAGAGTGTAAAATAGGAGAAAACACAGGAAATCTTAAGTTGAAAAGCCCAGAGTCTTGTCCCAGCTACAACATGCAAATTCTTTCATCCTGGATAAAACACATGACAAGTGAACAGCTTTCCTGACACGTGATAGTAAAAGTATTTCAATGAAAAAAACAGGAAGCCTAGAGACCAAGAAGAAAAGGTTTGAAAGGTGAGAGAAAAAGAAAGTACCTTACTATACACTGTGGCCTCCATTTAGTAACACGTATTTATTTAGGATCTGCTCTGGGCCAGACAATGGGACCACAGCCAGGAGTGAGCTAACAGACGGGCAGGTCAATACATCATGACAAGCATTCTGCTACTACAGGGAAGTGCTGGGTGCCGTGGGAGCAGGGAACAGGAGCACTGCACTCAGTGAGAGTCCGAGAGAGCCTTGCCGAAGAAGTGATGTTTAGTCCCGATCTGAAAGGAGGAAGGTAGATGAAGCGAGGTGAAGAACACTCCAGGGAGAGGGACAGGAAGGAGGAGAGAGATCAGAGATGCTGCTGGAGGGGCAGGCAGAGTTCACACACAGGGCCTGTCCAGCATCAGAGAGCCAGGCCCCGTCGGGGAGAGACAGGCCTGCACTTTAGGACTGCAGCGAACAGACCAGTGAGAAGATACAAGAAAGGGAGGAAGGTAACAGCAAGTGGGGCAGAGGCCACGCCGGCCTACAGCCAAGACAGAGGCTGCAGACCAAGACTGGAAAGAGGGGCACATGTGGCAGGATGGAGAGGGATGGGTCTTTACACTTGATCTTGGCCAAAGGGCCAGCAGCGAGGAGACTGGCCTCTGCTCTGCAACAGAGCTGGGTTAAATTCTTACCACACCCATCACTAAAACCCTGCCTCACTCCTGGGAGATTTCATTTAAGTTTAACTTGGAAAACAACACTTAATGGGAAGGTGGGAACTAATCCAATGGGGCTTTGCACTTCAGCAGATATTTAATGATGCTATTTTTCTGGTGGGCAAAATTCAAGATGGTCCCAAGATTCCTGCTCCCTGGGAACACACCCTGTGGGGTGCCCTGCCCTTAATGTGGGCAAGCCTAGTAGCTGTGGTAGGTTATCAAGCTCAGGACTATGTCACGTGGTAGAGGGGACTGTGCAAATGCTGAATTACTCCAAATACCAGAACAGGCCTGCCCTTAGCCAGGGAGGAAGAACTGGGGTAGGTGCTGTGGCATAGCATGCCAAGCTGCTGCCAGAGTCCCACATCAGAGGGCTAATTCAATCCTCCTGCCTGCTAATGCACCTAGCAAAGCAGCACGTGACGGCCCTACTATCTAGGTCCCCGCCACCCATGTGGGAGGATGGACGGAGCTCCTTGCTCCTGTCTTGAACCTGCCCAGCCCTGGCCACAGAGGTCATTTGTGGAGTCCACCAGCTGATGGAAGATCGGTTTTACACTCTCTGTCACTCAGTCTTTCACATAAAGAACATCTTTAAAATTAAAAAAAAAAAGATACTCATGATGCTATATTTTAGAAACAACCAACAGATTGTAAAGTTTATTTTGGAAACACAAAAGACCCAGGGTACTGAGGAGGTTACAAGGTTGAGGAGAGATAGTACGTTACTTCTATACTCCCCACAAACCTATGGTAACCAGGACAGTGTGCTGTTAGCAAAGGAACACATCACCAGAACGGAACAGAGACCCTAAACACAGCTATGTTAACATCCCCATTTCTAATGGAAGGGAGACAAGCTGTAAGTGTCCTGGACAAATGATGCTCCAACAACTGGACGCCCTACGCTGAAACAACAAATCAGTGAATCCAGTCACAAGCCTTTGTTTTTAAAGGCTTATCTTACTTTTATTGGAAAGGGAGATATACAGAAAAAAGGAGATAAAGAGAGAAAGATCTATTTTTTTTTAAAGATTTATTTTTATTATTTTTTTATTGGAAAGGCGGATATACAGAGAGGAGAGACAGAGAGGAAGATCTTCCATCCGATGATTCACTCCCCAAGTGAGTGCAACGACCCGATGCTATGCCGATCTGAAGCCAGGAGCCTCTTCCGGGTCTCCCATGCGGGTGCAGGGTCCCAAAGCTTTGGGCTGTCCTCGACTGCTTTCCCGGGCCACAGGCAGGGAGATGGAAGGGAAGCGGGGCTGCCAGGATAGAACTGGTGCCCATATGGGATCCCGGGCATGCAAGGAGAGAACCTTAACCACTTGCGCCACCGTGCCGGGCCCGAGAAAGATCTTTCTAGGCCTGGTGTGGTAGCCTAGTGGCTAAATCCTCATCTTGAATGCATTGGGATCCCATTTGGGGGCCAGTTCATATCTAAGCTGCTCCATTTCCCTTCTAGCTCCCTGCTTGTGGCCTA